GAATATTGCTCGCCAGAGTTGATTATTTTATCGTCTGGACTGGTTTTTATTAAATGAAGTCATGGAGCAGGATTATCCAGTCAGGGACATATTGCCACATCCAGGCCAACACAAACAACGCAAGCAGGGAAAATTCTGCCAAAATACCAATTTTTGGAAACTACATTTAGTTTCTTGAGAACATCTTACTTGTCCTTCACAAATAAAAATGCAATATTCTATTTATATTTGTCTGGTGTCTAATAAACCAAGATGGGCAAGTTTGACATGGTATTTCCACACCCAGGCTGATTATGTACAGGCAATGCCAGAAGCCTACATGAATACGTATATACAGAGGCCTACAGCCATGGATATTCACATCACCACAGTGTAGGGTTGCGTACTGCCTGGCTGGCTGGCTGGTTATAATGTGTTGCAATACATTGCAAGACCTAGGTCTGTATTGTGAAACACATTGTGATACATTGTGAGATTTAGTTTTGTATTGTGATACATATTGCAATACATTGTGAGATTTATGTTTGTATTGTGATACATATTGCAATACATTGTGAGATTTAGGTTTGTATTGTGATGCATATTGCAATACATTGTGAGACTTGGGGTTTGTATTGTGATACATATTGTGATACGTATTGCAAGACTTAGGTCTGTATTATGATCCAAGTATAATACATTGCAATACTTAGGTCATTATTGTGATCTGTATGGCAGTATATTGCACAACTTAGGTCATTATTGTGATCCATATTGCAATACATTGCGCAGCTTAGGTCATGTATTATTGTGATCCATATTGCAATACATTGCAAGACTTAGGTCATTATTGTGATCTGTATTGCAATACATTGCAAGACTTAGGTCTGGGGAGCACGGGTGGCCCAGTCATCTAAGGCGCCGCAATTTGCTGTGCAGAATTGCGTCCCTTAGGCAGGCCAGAAACCTATGATTGTGGGTTCGAATCCCGGTTCGCCCCGATTATGTTTCTAGGTTTTTCAGCACCATACCGGTGCTCGTGGGTTTCACCGAAGTGGTAAACGTCTGAGACCTGCATCACTTGGGGCTTTCCTCCCACATTAAGCTGACACGATGTGATATAACTGGAATACTGTTACAAGCGGCGTTAAACCCAACTCACTCACTCACTTAGGTCTGTATTGTGATACGTAATACAAAGTATAGCCATAACATTTTAATGAATTATGCAGCTCGAAGAAGTAAACAAATGCGCCGCTGTTGGCTGTGATGATATGTAACTTTACAACACTCTCGTCCACTGTATTGGAGACAATAACTGTGTCAGCGGAGTTATTATTGGATGGGGAGATTGCTTTTCCTTGCTCATATGTCACCAGAACATTAAAGCAACCATGCTGCTGTGTTTTCTTCCACTGCCAGTACATTTTGTTCAGACCAAAATACCCACACATCGGTTTTTTCCCTTTTGTTCAGAACGATCTCATAATCAGGATCAGTGAGTGAGTGAGTTTGGTTTTACGCCGCTTTTAGCAATATTCCAGCAATATCACGGCGGAGGACACCAGAAATGGGCTTCACACATTGTACCCATGTCGGGATTCGAACCCGGGTCTTCGGCGTGACGAGCGAACGCTTTAACCACTAGGCTACCCGACCGCCCCTAATCAGGATGAAAGAAATACCCATATTTACACGTTTTGTCAATATACCAACCTATTCAGATCATACTGCAATACATATTGTCATAGGTATGTATCACGTTTAGAGCCCACCTTCCAGATGCTTACTGCTGGAACACTTACATGAATGAATAGAGACATTACTCTGTAACTAAGATTCTGTAATCAGGACACTTGTAAAACCAGACAACATCAGCAGGAACGCTAATGTCTGGATTAACAGACTTGCCATGTATAACACGGATATGAAAACACTATAACAAAATCTCAGTATAAGACAATAAGTTTCCACAGATATTTTGCATCATAATTGCACAACTAGGCACAACTTGCATGTTTACATATAAGTTATTCTCTTATCTACATCTTTTTAAACAGCCATTTTCTGAAATTCGCAATGAAACACTTCACATCTCATCACTTCCTGTGTTCAGATAACATCTTAAGAAATCTCAGGACTATTTTCAGCTTCACAGGTCATGTGAGCTGTACCCCCAAGATAAAACTTAACTCCATCCGATTAAACCCCTTTGAAAAGACGGAGCAAATTAGCCACTGATTTAAGCCCTGTGGCCCCAAGGTAAAGAGCCCATAAAGAATACAGCATTCAAGGGTCAGATTTAGGGGTCAATGGGGGTCTTGGAGGGGAGGGGGGGGGGGGGGGGGGGGGGGGGGGGGGTCAGAGAGGGACAGGTTAGAGTTGCAGAGATAAGTGGAGAGGGCCAATAACACTAAATGTCAAAGTTATCTCTCCATAATCAGCACACTGACTGCCAGACCTACTTACGCCTTGAGAGTAAGCATGTTCTGAGCCTCCACAGTCTTGTCGTCTCTTACGTCACATGTCATGTACTCAATACAGAGTTACAGGTGCTGATTTACTGGATTAGAAATTCAGGTTTTTAAAGACTACTGAGGACATGGTGAAGCCTAATTTCACCAATCCTCAGTATAAATCAGCCTTAAAATCGCATTGACACATCGTGATACCCCTCCTCCAGAGCTGAGTAGCGGTTGGTATCTTGCGATAGATTCGTATCACGATACGGACTGATGATACTACTGGTATCACGATACACATCAAATAGTAAGAAATGATAAAATCACTGAAATACAGCTCTTAAACCTCTTTCGTCATACATTTATTTGTTGTTATCTAAAAAATATTAACAATGACAACCACAAGAAAAAAACAGTTATAGATGAAGAGATGGTCATTAAATGTAACAGTTGGTCAGTGCATCCTAAGTCACCACATCCTTGAGTTCTGCCATGCTTACAGGTGGCGCTATGCCACTTCTGCCATTATGGGAGGGAACGCTAATAGTTCATGTTCTATTAATACCGATCACGATCTCACACACTACAGATTCAAGTATCGTGTGCACCTAAGTACCGATGATATCGTAGGTATCGGTACATTGTTACAGCCCTATCCTCCACATCTGTATGAAATGAAGCAAGCACTGACCGATCTGCCACCGACAGACTTATTCCTTGTTTCATAAGTCAGAGTTTTCAACTAGTCCTGATGGAATTTGCTAGTCCTGTGTCCAAGAACGCAAACTTTTCAGAATTATACCCCTCAAAAGCTACTAGTCTCTGAGGAAATAATTATTCATTTAAATCACAAGTTCTAGATTATGTAAATAATAAGAATAACTTGACCCTATAAGAGACTGGACTGTCCACATATCTAGACTTGCCTATTAAGCGGATAGAATAACGACCCATCCATGCACTTTCCTTTCAGTACAGACTTGGAGCAAGGCTAGCTACTAGTCAGTGAGAACTACTATCATTGCATTTTCACTTGTCCTCAGGAGAATCTACTAGTCTCAGGCTAGAGGACTAGCATGATTTCGAAGGCAATATCTATGTTGGCTGGTTTTTCGGGGTACTGCTGTGCAAGCACCTGTTCGATACAGATCCCTGGCAGATTTACATACAGCTTTAGATGTATGTAGGTGAAGGATATAACTGTACATATACTGACTTCGCTAGCATGACTTGCTCCACGATGAATCATACTTTGTCTAAGACTCGAGACATGATAATAGGTAAACAAGCACGAAGACTTGAGTGTGTCATTGTATGCAAGCCATTCCTCACGCAGTCTGTGACTTAAGCCACAAGCGGAAAGTCCGGGGTGGAGTAAAATTGTTTCGGTCTGGTAAACTCAGCTAATAAAAGTCTAAAATTAACAGTTAAACATTTTGACACGGACTGTTTAAAGTATACAGCATCCTGATACACCCTGGTAACAGTGGAAGTACCATTCCAATTGAAACCATGGACCTAATTTCTGGATTAACATCTAACAGCCATAAAGTTAAATCCCTGTGTAAATGTGTAAAACATCCAAACATTAATTGTTCTGATGCAAAACCATGAAAATCTACTCCTTTGTTAATCCACATTTAATAATCTCCTTGTGAGACTCTCTGGATAATTGGATTAACAAATTTCCCAATCAACTAATCATAGGTTGGTTGAACATTCCTTTAACAGCTGTTAAATAACACAATGTCTAAACATTAATGGTATGCGGTTTTACAGAAATAAAGGGGTTTGGCTACATATTGGCAAGGGGAAATGTTAGCTGTGCCTATAAGTTTCAATGGGGGGAGGTCAGTCTGACCCAGGGATGGGAACAAGATCCACATATGCTGTCCATAAGTTTATTGTTTCATGGATGCTTTCTTAATCAATATTAGACTTCTTCCAAGATCAGGTATATGACAAATTACAGAGACATCTCTGCAAGGACTGCATCAGTATTGATTCAACATCGTATTCATACCATATATGGCACTCGTGAAAACAAACTGCCCTCGCAGCTTCCAGTGTGATATCACGGCTTAATATCAAAACATACTATTACAAACATCTGATTAACTTTAGGGATCGCTACTAATTAACCCACATTCATCAGTATTACGTCACGTGGGCTGCACTAGCTTCCGCCGAGAGGCCGGCTTCAGCTAACGCCATAATTCCGAATATAAAGGAAATCCTATTTATAGCATTAGTCATAACTATAAAAGAGCCTTTATATGGAAATAACCCTTATTTTCGCGGAATATAAATATTACAGACATGGATGCAAAATATCGAAAATGAAACATGAGTATTGAGGGCACCCTTTTCCATCCTCACTATAAAGCGCATTTCATTCCAAACTGAATAGATCTAATATTATAACGTACTGCATATGTCAACATTGTTTCCAATTTCACAAAAACGTCCACATGTGTAATGACAGCCCTGGCGCTCGCTACTACAGACATTATAATGATTGACAACACACATCAACATATATAACACTACAAAACATACCTCTTCTTTTGAAGTGGATATTTCCGTGGTCGATTCCATCTCAGCGTTTTTCCAGTATACACAAATACAATATCCTTTTGGTATCGTCTGCTTGTTCCAGTCGGGTTGTAGAGACAGACGACTACTGCCGTCTGCTCCTGTATGCTCGCGTCTGCTCTGTGCCAGTAAAGATCCCCGCGATATCTACAATCCAGCTCAAACGGGCACTTTTACCCAGCTGTAATCATCTCTGTTGGTAATCATATTTCTTTGTGACTGGACGGGTGTCCCAAAGCCTCTCGTCTGCTCCAGGCCGATTTACCTGGAGATTCGCCACTGTGCGACAGCCCAGCGTTACCACGTGGGTTGTGACATCATATCGCACGCGGCTGGTGTATATATAGCGTCGTCCTTTGCTGGAGCCAGTGTTGTGGAGAGAGATGCGTCGTGTTGGGAGGTATCCAACCTTAAGGTGCTTCGTCTCGCTCAGTGGCACTCGTTTATCACCAGGGATTTGGGCAGGTAAATTTGTTAGTGAACATGTAGTACCACGATAAGAAAACAATCTTCACATGACGCAGAAATAATATCATTTTGATCCCCCAAGCTCCATGAGTGTTTAATATCAATATTCACCAATAGTTATTACAAGCGATTTTGTTCTGAGAGTGAGTGAGTGAGGTTATATGGTGCCGGCGTTCGAAATAACTAAACGTACGACATCCCTCGGTCATCAAGTGTCTTAGATAGACAAGTAATCCCTCAGTCTCCTGTTCCCCATTGGTCTCAACGTGTTCCCTGCTGGCGAAAGGAGACATAAGCGATAATGGTATATCGTAACGTGTTAAGTGAAGAATGACAGCCTTCACCAGGCCGAAAAATCTATTTGTCTGTGTGCATGGCCAGTTTGCAGATTTGTGTAGTTTTAGTCAGTCTCATTATCACATATAGAAGTGTCGTATCGGAGCAACAAATCTGATTATAATAAGATTGAAATATGTTTTGTTTGTTGTGTAACGCCTCACTCGGCATAATTTCAGCTCTATGCATGCTGTGACCTCTAAAATAAACCAGTCGTTATCAGGATTCCTAAGTTTGGGCCCTTTTGGATTCAGGGACACAACAGGTGCCCGTTGCCTCGTGCTAAAATGGATTGTGGCTCACGCTTTCAATCACTGTTTGGCCTGAGTCCGACTAACGATTTTTAAACAGACCGCCATCATACACCTGGAATAATGAGTCAGTAGTGCTTATTGCGGCGTTAGGTGAGGCGAAATGGGGTTTAACGTCGCGTATAAGATTATTGCACTTACAGAGCGACGTGCATGTACGTGTGTCTGTTTGTGTTGCTGCTTGTACCAGTCCGGACTGATGCCGATTTATAGTGCTAGCCCAATGAGATACCATGCCACAGTTTAACATGAATACCCCCACTCAGACACAGTATACTGACTCCGAGCCGACCAGTCCTTGATTTTAGCCCTTTAATGCCGGGCGCCAAACAGGGTAACAACAAGTACCATCTTTTAACATCTTTTGGTATGACGCGGCCGGGGATCGAACCCGGACCTTCCGCTCTCCGGGCCCTAAATGCCGAGCACCAGACAGGGTACCAACAAGTACCATCTTTCAACGTCTTTTGGTTTGACGGGGCCGGGGATCGAACCCCGGACCTTCCGCTCTCCGGGTGGACGCTCTACCACTAGACCACAGAGGCGGTCTCTATTGCGGCGTTAAACAATAATCAGTCACTAACACATGTACATGTGGAATCATATGGGATGTGCCTTGCAAAATCAGGTAGCTACACTATCGATGTGATCCTTGGTGATTGTCATGGAGCTCCGACTTGTTTCTCGCCCAGACTCATTTATTTACTACGGGGCGTCATAGTGCCGACTCACATGTAAAACAACACCCGCTCACCCTACGACTAATCGGTTTATCACCGAGATCAAGAGAAACTAATCTGGTGCAAAAAATCCGCGTATACTTTTACGTCGCCAACGTGTCTTCACAGTGAACTACGGTCCGTTTCCGACATAAAACTGCGTCATTGATCCGTGGTTATCCCGCGAGTTAGCTCAACATCCTCTGTCTTTTGTAAGAGGCGACTTAAAGAGTGGTCAGGCTCACGGACTTAATGATTGCGTGTCATCGAACCCTCGTAAAACTCGTAAAACAACATTCACCCTTGATTCACTGTAGGGGAGAAACTGTTCCCCGGGTGCGCGTCGGGTAGACCCAGAACTCCATCTGTAATCAAAATTAAAGTGTTTTCACACGTCCATGAGGAGATCGTCTTACAATGACACACACGAACCAACACCGAACAATGGGGTAACTGGGTTAAGAGTAACGTTAACGATCGTAAACAAAATACATTTGTGAACTGTACGTTTAAGCTTCAGCCACTCACTCCTTGTAAACATACCTCAAGGACGTTCGGTTGTATTCACATGAATGAAAGTGCTGAATATTTCATGATAAGCGAGTTACCAAAGCAACCCATATGGGAAAAAACTTCCTGAAACGTTTACGAAAAGCTTTTTTTTTAGCAAACTATAAATTTCCAACTCAGATTCTGATAACTGTAGCCCATCTACAGGTCGTAGGGTGAAACCCAATGAATCCGGAATAACGGGATTTCATGAACACGCACGCATACGCATCCACAAGCGCACGCACGCACGCACAAGCACATACTGGATCAGCCACTGCACGTCTAACTGTTCACACCAGGCACCCGGTATATACACGAGCATTTCAATAATTTGAATTTATTTGGAGTGTATATAATGTGTTATTCTCAAGTGGGGTGGATCCACCACCGCATGTCCGACATCCTGTACACACATCACCTCCCCAGCATGTCAATGCATGACTGTGTTATTAAAGTATTACTCATCAACCTTGAAAGTGCGTTGTCATGTTGCCGAGCATGCACTCGTTACACCCGGTAGTAATGAAGCTTATTCCCGATGGTGGGAATAAATAGGATGATAATTCTGAACATATGAGTGAGTAAGTGAGTATGTTTTTACGCCGCTTATAGCAATATTCCAGCAATACCAGGGCGGGGGACACCAGAAATGGGCTTCATACATTGTACCCATGTCGAGAATCGAACACGGGTCTTCGGCGTGACGAGCGAACGCTTTAACCACCAGGCTATCCGACCGCCCCTCTGAACTTATGAATAATTTGTTGTTGTAAGCTAAATATATTACATACAGATGTAACTGTCATTTTAATATATTCCGAAAAGATTTGTTATTAAGCTTCAAACTGTTCTTGATGTCTATTGATAAATAGGATTATTTTATTTACTCCTAACTTGGAAACAATAGCCCCTTACAGGCTTGATGTTATAAAGATGCTATCCCAGTGTGAATGGGTTGGTTAGTGTGACCTCACTATTTCATCGTATCCCAGTGTGAATCAGGTGGTTAAAGCATGACCTCACTATTTCATCATATCTCAGTGTGGATGGGTTGGTGATAGTGTGACCTCACTATTCCATCGTATCTCAGTGTGGATGGGTTGGTTATAGTGTGACCTCACTATTTCATTGAACCCCAGTGTGAATGGGTTGGTTATAGTGTGACCTCACTATTTCATCGTATCCCAGCGTGGATGGGTTGGTGATAGTGTGACCTCACTATTTCATCGTATCCCAGTGTGGATGGGTTGGTTATAGTGTGACCTCACTATTTCATCGTATCTCAGTGTTGATGGGTTGGTTATAGTGTGACCTCACTATTTCATCGTATCCCAGTGTGGATGGGTTGGTGATAGTTTGACCTCACTATTTCATCGTATCCCAGTGTGGATGGGTTGGTTATAGTGTGACCTCACTATTTCATCGTATCTCAGTGTTGATGGGTTGGTTATAGTGTGACCTCACTATTTCATCGTATCTCAGTGTGGATGGGTTGGTTATAATGTGACCTCACTATTTCATCGTATCTCAGTGTGGATGGGTTGGTTATACTGTGACCTCACTGTTTCATCGTATCCCAGTGTGGATGGGTTGGTTATAGTGTGACCTCACTATTTCATCGTATCCCAGCGTGGATGGGTTGGTTATAGTGTGACCTCACTGTTTCATCGTATCCCAGTGTGGATGGGTTGGTTATACTGTGACCTCACTATTTCATCGTATCCCAGTGTGGATGGGTTGGTTATAGTGTGACCACACTATTACATCGAACCCCAGTGTGGATGGGTTGGTTATAGTGTGACCTCACTATTTCATCTTATCCCAGTGTGGATGGGTTGGTTATAGTGTGACCACACTATTTCATCGAACCCCAGTGTGGATGGGTTGGTTATAGTGTGACCTCACTATTTCATCGAACCCCAGTGTGGATGGGTTGGTTATAGTGTGACCTCACTATTTCATCGTATCCCAGTGTGGATGGGTTGGTTATACTGTGACCTCACTATTTCATCGTATCCCAGTGTGGATGGGTTGGTTAAAGTGTGACCTCACTATTTCATCGTATCTCAGTGTAGATGGGTTGGTTATACTGTGACCTCACTATTTCATCGTATCTCAGTGTGGATAGGTTGGTTATAGTGTGACCTCACTATTTCATCGTACCCAAGTGTGGATGGGTTGGTGATAGTGTGACTTCACTATTTCATCGTATCCCAGTGTGGATGGGTTTGTTATACTGTGACCTCACTATTTCATCGAACCCCAGTGTGAATTGGTTGGTTATAGTGTGACCTCACTATTTCATCGTACACCAGTGTGGATGGGTTGGTTATACTGTGACCTCACTATTGCATCGTATCCCAGTGTGGATGGGTTGGTTATACTGTGACCTCACTATTGCATCGTATCCCAGTGTGGATGGGTTGGTTATAGTGTGACCTCACTATTTCATCGTATCTCAGTGTGGATGGGTTGGTTATACTGTGAACTCACTATTTCATCGTATCCCAGTGTGGATGGGTTGGTTATACTGTGACCTCACTATTTCATCGTATCCCAGTGTGGATGGGTTGGTTATACTGTGACCTCACTATTTCATCGAACCCCAGCGTGGATGGGTTGGTTATAGTGTGACCTCACTATTTCATCGTATCCCAGTGTGGATGGGTTGGTTATAGTGTGACCTCACTATTTCATCTTATCCCAGTGTGGATAGGTTGGTTATAGTGTGAACTCACTATTTCATCGTATCCCAGTATGGATGGGTTGGTTATACTGTGACCTCACTGTTTCATCATTTCCCAGTGTGGATGGGTTGGTTATAGTGTGACCTCACTATTTCATCGTATCCCAGCGTGGATGGGTTGGTTATAGTGTGACCACACTATTTCATCGAACCCCAGTGTGGATGGGTTGGTTATAGTGTGACCTCACTATTTCATCGAACCCCAGTGTGGATGGGTTGGTTATAGTGTGACCTCACTATTTCATCGTATCCCAGTGTGGATTGGTTGGTTATACTGTGACCTCACTATTTCATCGTATCCCAGTGTGGATGGGTTGGTTAAAGTGTGACCTCACTATTTCATCGTATCTCAGTGTAGATGGGTTGGTTATACTGTGACCTCACTATTTCATCGTATCTCAGTGTGGATAGGTTGGTTATAGTGTGACCTCACTATTTCATCGTACCCAAGTGTGGATGGGTTGGTGATAGTGTGACCTCACTATTTCATCGTATCCCAGTGTGGATGGGTTTGTTATACTGTGACCTCACTATTTCATCGAACCCCAGTGTGAATGGGTTGGTTATAGTGTGACCTCACTATTTCATCGTACACCAGTGTGGATGGGTTGGTTATACTGTGACCTCACTATTGCATCGTATCCCAGTGTGGATGGGTTGGTTATACTGTGACCTCACTATTGCATCGTATCCCAGTGTGGATGGGTTGGTTATAGTGTGACCTCACTATTTCATCGTATCTCAGTGTGGATGGGTTGGTTATACTGTGAACTCACTATTTCATCGTATCCCAGTGTGGATGGGTTGGTTATACTGTGACCTCACTATTTCATCGAACCCCAGCGTGGATGGGTTGGTTATAGTGTGACCTCACTATTTCATCGTATCCCAGTGTGGATGGGTTGGTTATAGTGTGACCTCACTATTTCATCTTATCCCAGTGTGGATAGGTTGGTTATAGTGTGAACTCACTATTTCATCGTATCCCAGTATGGATGGGTTGGTTATACTGTGACCTCACTGTTTCATCGTATCTCAGTGTGGATGGGTTGGTTATAGTGTGACCTCACTGTTTCATCGTATCTCAGTGTGGATAGGTTGGTTATAGTGTGGTCTTCAGCAACCCATGCTTGTCGTAAAAGGAACGGGATCAGGTAGTTAGACTCTCTGCCTTGGTTGACGCATGTCATTGTATCCCAATGGTGTAAATCGAATAATCGATGCGCATGGTGTCAATCACTGGATTGTGTGGTCCAGATTCCATTATTTAGAGACCGCCTTCATATAGCTGGAGCGCTGCGTTAAACGACAAACAGAAACAGTCACTGGTTTGCATGTTTGGTCTGGATTATGTACAGCGGTAATATTACTGAATACCAGCTCATTGACTCGGAACAGGTGCTCGTTGACAATAACGGCGATGGTACAGATACAGCGTGTCGTGCAGCCCCGTTAGACACAGAGTGATCTACCATTACTCCATCTACATACACGACACGATACGCCGTTCTGATAATTAGCCGAGTGCATGGTCCCCCGAACGTGATGAACTGCTAACACGACACGTTAAGACACGCCCATGACGGCTGGTTAAGTCTGAACGACGAAACACAGTGAATACCCTGAGGCTGTGGAGTAGAGCCTCTCGGAGCAGGTAACATCTCACAGGCCTGTGCAAAGATGCCAATGAACAGAAAGCATGGGAAACGGCGTTATCGCCTATAGTACCCCGACACGCACATCTTCCATTAGTCCTGCACCATGACTGGACTTTATTGTTTTGGGTATTTTGTTTTACTAAAAGCCTAGGCAAGTCTAGATCAAACTAACCAAGTCTAGTTTGTTTGATTAAACAGCAGAAGAGGAAAGGTTCTTTCGAGAAATAAAATACATTTTAAAGACATGTTTTCATTAACAAAGTGTTAGTCTAATCTTCCCTTCAGAGACGAGATTGTATACGAGGCAAATTGCATTGATATCCTTGTTTCCTGGCATTGTTGTTGTTTATGGTGTTGTTGTTGGTGGTGGTGTTGTTGTTGGTGGTGGTGTGTTTGTGTGTGCATGCCTGCGTGCCGGCCTGCGCGCGCGCGTGTGTATGCGTGTGTGTTCGTCACACTCTGTAATATTCTAGCCATATCCAGTAATGTTCCAGCTGTTAATAATCGAGTCTGGATCAGAAAATCCAGTGATTGATATTATGAACAACCATCCACACCGTCCGGCCACGCTGACCCACCATCAACCAATACACCGAGCCTGACCCCCCAGTCCATTTAGTCGCCTCTTATTGACCAACATAGATTGCTGGGGACCAATTCTTACCCGGAATGCCCACGGTCATCAGTGCTGTTTTGATCGGTACGTAGACACTCTGGAAAAGTTGTTTGTGAAGAGGTCTTGCCATCTCTTCTTATGTGTTTTCACTCCGTGCAGAAAGTGCCGGTACCTACAGCTGTTGTTTATAGGAAAGGCGCCGTATGAGATGACATTACGGAGGCAACTGTGTCAATGATGTTGTGATTGTACTTGGCAAACGTCGTTCGTGATGAGTGGGAGTTGGTGCACGCTCCTTGTTGTGGCGTGTGGCGTCTGGTGTGTGTGTGGGCACGTGCTGACACACACTGACGTAATGCAAGCATGTGAAACCCGTCCTGCTTCAAACACCAGACATGACAAGGTGCACCGTCCCACGTGAGACAGAGTCCTGGGTGCCGTTGTATAAAGCGATCTCAGCGCTAACTCCCATACCTTAACATAGACACCCGACAGTCGTAGCGCTAAGGTTATTTTGTACAACGGTACCCTAGGGTATAACGACGTTATATCCCTCTTAATGTAATGTAGCGTTGTACCGATGTCGGGTTCTATTGTTGAATACGTGTCAACCCTGAGACCCTTAAATGTTTGCATGTATTAAGTACAGTACTTTCCATAAGTACAGACTGTATTTGAACTCACCAGTGAAGATCCGGGTCTTCAGCATCTCATGCTTTCTGTACAAGGCGACTATGCTTGTCGTAAGAGGCGACTAACCGGATCGGGTGGTCAAGCTCGCTGACTTGGTTGATGCATGCGTGGATCGATGCTCATGATGTCAATCATTGGGTTGTCATCATCAGTGCAATTTTTATAAAGGGGAGCTCAAAACAATTAAGAAATAATGGGCTATAAAGAAATTATTACACTTGCATGTGTGTCACACTGACTCTACGAAAGCCATGTAAGAATTCCTGTTTTCTGACACTCGTTTTGTAGACTCAGTATGACACATATGCTTGAATAATAATCTCTATATACGTCCATGAGGTGTCAACTATTTTAAGATGAAATCCAACACTAGGGGTAGGACAATACACCAATGCATCGGTGATTTTTACTTCTTGATTGGGTGGATCGATGCTCGTGATGTCAATCATTGGGTTGTCTGGTCCATACTCGAATATTTACAGACCGCCGTCGTATAGCTGGAATATTGCTGAGTGCTGCGTTAAACAACAAACAAACAAAACTTCTTGATACAAGTATCAATCACAGTTGCACAGTTGCACGCTGAGTAAAAATATTGATTATTACCTTAAATTATTTACAGTCCGCCGTCATAAAGCTGGAATATAGCTGGTGCGGCGTTAAACAAACAAAAACAAAAACATTTGAACTGAGCACACAACCAGCAGGCATCAGCGTGACTACTGTATTCTCTGTTGACGACAATGAACAACGTTGACTACCGCGCTGTCAACAAGTGTCCCCAACTGAAAGTGCTCCTACCGCCATCCATATACGGACATGGTGTGAACGATGTTGAACCTTCCTTTGCCCCTGTTACAAGGTGGGCAATGGAGGTCAAGAGGGAAAGTGAGTGAGTATGGTTTTACGCCGCTTTTAGCAATATTCCTGCAATATCACGGCGGGGATCACCAGGAATGGGTTTTACACATTGTACCGTTACGGGGAATCGAACCCGGGTATCCGGCGTGACTAGCGAACGCTTTAACCACTAGGCTACCCCACCGGCCCTCAAAAGGGAAAGAGAGAGCCTCGAAGACGATCCAAGATCAGGAAGTGAGTGAGTGAGAGAGTTGGGTTTAACGCCGCTTTTAACAGTATTCCAGTTATATCGCGGCGTGTCAGCTTAATGTTGGAGGAAAGCCCGAAGTGATGCAGGTCCAAGACGTTTACCACTTCGGTGAAACCCACGAGCACGGGTATGGTGCTGACAAACCTAGAAACATAATCGGGGCGAACCGGGATTCGAACCCACAATCAAAGGTTCCTGGCGTGTCCAAGGGACGCAACTCTGCACAGCGAATCTCGGCGCCTTAGACGACTGGGCCAACTGTGCCCCCCAAGCTCAGGAAGACCTTCAACTGCCGACACGAAGGAAATGTTGATAAAAGATATGACATGATCATATCTGATCACACGACACGTCACATGGCCAGTATAGTAGGCATCTCTCATGGGAGAGTTGAGGACATTCTGAGCGGTGAACTGATAAAGGTGTTAACAGACTGGGACCCAAGGTTTCTTGAGAGTTTACGTCGGTTTGATGCAGACCAGCTCAATTTCTTGGACGGCTTGTAACGATGGACGGTTCGCCACTGTCAGTCAGAGACTAAACAACAGCCAACGCAGTGGAACCATCTGATGTCTCTTCCTTCGGAAAAGTCAACACTTGTTCCATCAGGTGGTAAGGTGTTGTCTTCGGTTTTCTCGTATTCTAAAGGAATTCCACAGGTGAACTACCGCACCCGTGAAGATCCGGGGTAGAATAGGTTTTCAGCAACCCATGCTTGCCGTAAAAGGCGACCGTGCTTGTGAGAGGCGACTAACGGGATCGGGTGGTTAGGCTTGCTGACTTGCTTGATCCCAATGGTGTGGGATAAAGCTGGATTAGTGCTGAGTGCGGCGTTAAACAACAAACAAACAAATGGTGAACTACCTCCGGAAAAGTTCAACCTGTAGTCCTGCACCATGACTGTTGAATATATGTATTTTATGAGAACACGACCAATATATAGATAGATGGATATATAGATACACACACATACATATTTATACATATAGTATAGTTGTGCGTATGTATATGCACATCCCAAGGGATCGGTCCTTGTATAGTTATGCGTATGTATATGGACATCCCAAGGGATCGGTCGTTGCATAGTTGTGCGTATGTATATGCACATCCCAAGGGATCGGTCCTTGTACAGTTATGCGTATGTGTATGCACATCCCAAGGGATCAGTCGTTGTACAGTTATGCGTATGTATATGGCCATCCTAAGGGATCGGTCGTTGTACAGTAATGCGTACGTATATGGACATCTTAAGGGATCGGTCATTGTATCAGGGGAGGGTCTTGAAAAGAAGAGACAATTATTTTCGGTTCGCATTAAAAAACGGGGAAGGATGGTTTGCACACTGAAAACGTAACATTGCTATATGAATAGATGTAGGTTATTTGTATTGTTGTAGTGGGCGTCCTTATCTCATGACATACGTTACAGGCCTAGCCCTGTTTTGAACATCACGAGCACGGTATATGGTGTTGACAATACAGACCGGGCGAAACTGGGATTTGAACCCACAACCATCGGATTCAGACAAGGCTCGGAGACGCAGTTCTGCACAGCAAGTGGGCCACCCGTGAAATCCTTATCTAGACTTTGTCTTCCCATGGCATGGTGATCCTTTAACCGGCAGATATATATATGCCCATCCAGCCCTCCATTCTGTATAGTTGGTTGGTTGGTTTGTTGTTTAACGCCGCGCTCAGCAATATTCCACCTATGTGACCGCGGTCTGTAAATAATCGAGTCTGGACCAGACAATCCAGTGATTATTATCGTGAGCATCGATCCACGCAATTGGGATCGATGACATGCATCAACCAAGTTGTCAACCGTTAGTCGCCTTTTACGACAAGCATAGTCGCCTTTTAAGGCAAGCATGGGTTGCTGAAGACCTATTCTACCCCGGAATCTTCACGGGCCCCATTTCTGTATAGCCTATGGCTGTGCCCAGAGCGGTGTAGTACAAGGTAGCTTAGTCGTTATACCGCGATATACAATGATGCAGCCCGTGATTGAGTGAGTTAATGCTTTACGTCACATTGTCAATATTTCAGCCACATCGTGACGAGTTAATGGTATCCCACGGTGATATATATGCAATACAGGATGTGCTGTTACAAAAAGGACAACGTTGAGAAATAAGCACGATTGTAGAACTTCTTTCACAAGATACCACCGGGAAGGATCTCCGTGTCAGATAGTCGCAAACAAAGTACTGGAAACATCGACTTTGCTGATATTTCACTTAAATGGCAAGTAAATAATCAGAGCGCTTTCACGTTGTTCATGGTCGTATTCAATTTCAAACTTGTGTACCTGTGAATGGTGAAGTATTAGGGAATATGAATCTTTTATTGAAGGATACGGTTGATGTTGAACGCCTGAACGAGTTTCCATCACTGCATTTGTATGAGTATATGTACATACGAGAGAATGACAATCAGCATAATTCATCTGTATGTAACAAGCAGCAAGAAGTACGGGCTAGATATAACGCTGCTTTGAACAGTAGTTCATTGTATGTGTGTCAGCTTATTTAAGGAGGAAAACCATAGGGCGCTCTATCCTTGACGTTTACAGCTTCCGTGAGTGAGTGAGTGAGTGAGTGGGTTTGTTTTTATTCCGCTTTAAATGTCATTTCAGTTGTATCACCGCGTGTTGGCTGGGAGGAAAACCCGAAGTGACGCAAGTGCTGACAAACCAAGGGTTAATCCTAAATTCGGATTCACGATCGGCGGATCCTGGCAAGAAAGGGAAACAACTCTGCCCAAAGAAAACAACGCCACCCTTAGCTGATATACACGTGGGGATTTCTGGGAGAATAAGGGGCGGTCGGGTAGCCTAGTGGTTAAAGCGTTCGCTCGTCACGCCGAAGACCCGGGTTCGATTCCCGACATGGGTACAATGTGTGAAGCCCATTTCTGGTGTCCCCCGCCGTGATATTGCAGGAATATTGCTAAAAGCGGCGTAAAACCATATTCACTCACTCACTCTGGGAGAATATGTCCCACGTGCACCTCATGCTTGTCGTAATAACGACGATCGGGTGGTAGCCTTGCTCCAAGGCTGTACTGAAAGAAAAGTACATGGATGTGTTGTGATTCTATCCTCCTAATAGGCAAGTCTATATATGTGGACACTCGTCTCTTATAGGGACAACTTATTCTTATTATTTACATGATCTAGAAATTATTATTTAAACTAATAATTATTGCCTTAGAGACATGTGCAAGTCTAATCGGGTGGTTACGACGTTCGAGGTGACTGACAGTGTCCTCACACCATGGCGGCGTGTATCGTTGCTCATACTGTCACCCACTGGTTTGTCTGGCCGAGACTTGATGTACAAGCCGCCGGAGCAGTGGGGTATAGCCTAGTGGTTAAAGCGTTCGCTCATCACACCGAAGAGCTTGGTTTGATTCCCACATGGGTACAATGTGCGAAGCCCATTTCAGGTGTCCCCCGACGTGATATTGCTGGAATATTGCTGAAGGGAGCGTAAAACCGTACTCACTCATTAGCCCCAGCGAGGTCAGGGCAATAGCTGAAATATAACGGCGAAACAACATACTGTAAGAATACATCCTCTGTCGCGCGCAGCTCCTGGAGCACATCTACATATTACATTCAAATTAACCTTGTAGAAATCAATAAATTAATGTTTAACCTCAGAGTCATTCGGCTACCCGGATATCGCGTAGGTTGTCTCCCTTGGCGAGAGTCTACGTGACTTGCTGAAGGCCAGACGCGAGTCGTTAGATCCACGATAACGACATAGGCCGATTAGTTTGTGGCAAGTCACGGCATTACTGTAATTGGTCTTGTCGCCGAGAGCATTAGGTCGTCGTAAAGATGTCGATGGTGATGTATGTAAATGGCGTGTCTGTGGCTGAAGCTTGACAGCTTATGATCGTTTAGACGAGCCATTGTGTGCATACATGAAACCATATATAAACATATGCTCACGTATCTTTAACTACTTGACGGTGGAGTAGCCTAGCGGTAATGCGTTAGCTCACCACCCCGCAAACCTTGGTTCGTTTCCCAACATGGGTGTTATGTTTGAAGGGCTTTCCACTGTAATACGGTTGGAATATTGCTAACAGTGCTGTGACTTATACCCGTGCTCGTGGGTTTCACCGATGTGGTAAACGTCAAAGACCTGCATCACTTCGGGCTTTCCTCTCACATTAAGCTGACACGCCGTGATATAACTGGAATAATGTTAAAAGCGTCGTTAAACACAACTAACTCACTCACTCACTATTGCAGGGTTGCGTTTCACATCGCTACGACGATCGTAACTCCTATCCTTTAACATAGACCGCCGTCATATAGCTGGAATATTGCTGAGTGCGGCGTTAAACAACAAACCAACCAACCAATTTACGGGAATCTGCACCATAGACTTACGATAGCTGTAGTGCTTTTCTAGCCATAGTACCCATGCTAAGTCAAGTGCCCCAGTGTTAGAGTTACGACTGCCGTGGTGCTAAGAGCGCTTTGTGAACTGGCCCCAGTGTAGGAGTTACGACTGTCGTGGTGCTAAGATCGCTTTGTGGGACTGGCCCCAGTGTAGGAGTCGCGACTGTCGTGGTGCTAAGATCGCTTTGTGAAACGGGCCCAAGTGTAGGAGTTACGACTGCCGTGGTGCTAAGAGCGCTTTGTGAACTGGCCCCAGTGTAGGAGTTACGGCTGTTGTGGTGCCAAGATCGCTTTGTGGGACTGGCCCCAGTGTAGGAGTCGCGACTGTCGTGGTGCTAAGATCGCTTAGTGAAAGGGG